CTCTTCCTAAGCCTAGAAGCTTTGTAGGGTACATCAACCATTTCAATTTCTTGTACACAGGAGGTAAATCTCTTTAACAAATTGCCAAGTAATAGAACTTCTTTATTCTTGATGATTCTCTTCTCGATTATTTCTAAACAAAACTTATCAAATGCTTTGTCATACAAGGTTGGACCAATGATCTTCCTTTCTCTTAAAAGGCATGCCGTGTACGTCTGGTAACATCGTTTGTGGTACCTGGCTTCAATAGCAACACAGTCTCTCCCACGGATATGAATGAGAATGCTTTCATCGTTCCTTAACAATGCCGCCTTCTCTAATCTTCCGGCCGTCACGGTTTGAGCCAATGATAACTCGTGTTTAACACGTTTTTTCGTTGCCTGCAAATATGAGTATTTGTTTCTGATGAGAATTTTGTTGGCGGGGATATGAGAAAATAACAGAAACTCGGTACAACCCCCCAGTATGAGATCTATATACAAAAAGTATATGGTGTCGGAAAAAAAATTAGGGGTTAGGGCAAGTTCAGGTCAGCCCCTCAAATCCTGTGGCCGTGCCTGATAACCATGCTGTACTATGTTTTTATAGAGACATTAAAATACTTTGGAGTAAATAAATTAATATTACAAAAACACATAAAAACATAAAGCAAAACTCTATATACCTTGTCTGTGATGTAGATCGGCCCATGCCGTTTACATATTAGACAAATCTCGGGCAAAACATTTGATGATCGAGCAGGAAAAGATTGTCGAGTAGTTCGGGTCACTTTTTCTGGTCTTGGACAGTTGGTCTGAGTATTGTCGTCGGCCACTCGCTTGCGATCGGCAGCATTAGTCAACGTAGTTTTGGCTCTATCAAGTTTACTTTTGTCTGTAAAACTTCGATAACAGGCAGGATGAAAGCAATATGTTTTCGCAATATTTTCCGGGTTTAAATCGTCAGTTTCATGAATAAACTCGAACGACTTTTTGGCGACTTCAGTAAAGGCTTTATACGAGGATGGCAGACTTAACCACTCCTTTCTTCTTTCCAAAATTCTATTCACGGTTTCACTTGTCAATTCTCTAAGCTCTCCGTCTTTACCCTCGAAATGAATGACACATACTCGATGAGAATCATCACTACCAGCACTGGAAGTACTTTCCATTTTGGATTTTTTTTTCGAATTTATTAACCCCCGTAAAAATACCTTGCCATCGTTCTAAATGACAACGCGGCCGCAAATTGAATAGACTGGAACGGAGTAAACACACATTTGAGCGATGCAATTTAATTCGAAGCATTGAGGAATAATAAACAAAATGGCGGGCGATTGTTGGAATTTCGTCAAAGGAGTGCAAATAAACATGAATTTTACAAAAATACTGCGGGTCTACGGAGCGGGAACTCTTCGGATTCAGATTCACCATGTTTAAAAGTGGTGAGTTATGTAAAAATATTTGAGTTACGAGGCACGGTAAATGAAAGTGAAAGATATTGGGCCACGACAAACGGCCTAACTCGGATTCTTTGAAAATTGCGAAATTCGAGGAATTCGCTCTAGCCTCTAGCCCGCGATCAGGCTGGGAGTAATGATAATATGTCACTGGAGTAACGTCATAAATTTAGTGAAGCAAAAATAAATAAACATGTTGGCCGAATCAAACCGTCTCAGAATGGTCATTTCCAGCAAATTGAATACTCTGAAACTGAAAAGAAAGTACTCCCTCTAGTATTATTGTAAATATTTTTGGTTTTTAAGATGATCTCATTTTCGGTTTTTATTTTACATTTTATCTATTACCCCATTAAGCTGCACCACGCCCAAATGATCCGACTTTATTATTTTACCCTGTCTAAAGTCAGACGATTTTACTCGGCAAGGTCTTGTGCATTAAATATGGGTTAACATTAGCGCCTGGGCATTTAAATTTGTGAAGTGATACATTGTCTGCCATGTAATTAAGAATCTATATTTACATGGAGGTAGGACCGTAGGGTGATGCTCCAGTGGCGAGCAAGCCATAACAACTGCTCATGCTATGCTAATAAAGGCAATACATATCTAACGATTTGAAAACATTTTATGCAGATCATTAAAACTTTGCATACCATGACCTGTCAATATGACTGGCTTGCCACCGCGCCCTACCGTTGCATCAGGCCGGCGACTGATCCGTGTCTCACTAAAAAAGCTCAAACAATAATTTTAGCGCGAGTTGTATTAGCCTTTCTCACGCCGCCATTTTTGGGGTACTTTTTGCCAATCTTGCGAGCGTCACGTAACGGCGACATTTTATAATTTTGTGGGTGTATGATGGTAAATTTACTCTGTAAATAGTTAGTTTGTTCTGAAATATTGCTTTTCACGTTGTTATAATCGTTTACGAAAAATTACAGTACCCCAAAAATGACGGCGTGAGAAAGGCTAATTATGTATTATCGTATACCTCCGAATATAAGTCCTCAACCCCCAAATGTCAACACGTCCACCAGCCCAGCATACACACTAACGGTCATTCCATACCATACATAACCCCAACCTCGTTCCCAGGGTCTGTCCTTTACATAACCCTCCCCTACCCCAATTAAGAACATGAAATCGAGTGATTGAACAGGAAAAATTCTATTTTCAATAATGCTTCGAATTCGTTAATTTGACAAGGGAATGCTACAGTATATGTCACTGTATATACATACAACCACGAAATTATTTTCGTATACAATCGCCCGTCATGTATGAAGGTCCCTCGATCTGCGTGGAAGCCCATCTTCTATTAGGATTAATACGGTATTTTTTAAAACGAAACAATGTCCGAATAAAACATCTTCACTTCACTTGAGTAGTTGAGTAATCCAAGACATGGATCGAAACAAGATTATGGACAGGCATAATAGTTTGTGATCTGATTCCGATTATTTATTTATTATTTCGTCATTCACAAGAATATAAGAATAATTATAATGATTAAATAATAAATTTAAAAGTAATCTTACATTAACATAAAGGGCTTATTAGAATCACTTGGTTTTTGAAATTTGATTCCTTTGTAAAATATTAGAGAGTTTAAGTTCGACTTCCAATACCAATGCCGATACCGATGTCTTCACTTCCGTTCTCATTTTGGTACCGGGAATTTTAAAGCGTTAAGTTATCACGACAGATAAAGTATAACGATAAAGTATAAAGTATTCGTCAACGAAAATGTGCGGTATACTAAACGGCAGATGAGCTAAAATTCCGACTAAAACATGACTCAGGCGATGCTAATAAACAAATAGTTTACATGTTTATCGTAAAAATTATGAAATATCCGATTTATATGAGTTTATCTTACAATTCCCCCGACTTCCAATACAAAGCCGACTTCGGTAGTGGTAACTTCCAATACACTTGTCCTCGTGCTTCTTGCGAGCAGAGAGCATGCGCATGACATGTTGCTAGTATCGGTATTGGTATCGGAAGTCGAACTTAAACTCTCTAATTACACGATCTGTACAGCATAAATCAGTTCAAAGCAATACTTTATAATCAGGGCCGCCGAAAGGGGTTGGGGGCACTTTGCCCGACCTCCCAAATCAAAAGGGGCCCCCAAAGCAACAAAGGCCTTTACAATTTCTCGATACAAGATTGCTTAACTAAGAATATAAATCCTAGCTGCGTTATAAGCCCCGTTTACACTACGCTCAATTTTTGGTACGGCACGGATAAAATTGGTACCTGTACCACTTTTTTGGTTCTTGGACTACCTATTAGTGTCGGATAATAGAGAGTTTAAGATCTACGACGCGGCCGGCTCAACGACGCGCTTGCGATTAAGAAAGAAATCTGTCATGCAAGACAAAAACTGTGAATAAATTTGTGGTCCCAGGGGTATTCTCAACGGCTTTAGCCTGGGTTCACATTGATCGGCGATGTTCTACGATCCATTGTCTGTGAGCAACGAAGAAGAAAATGCACAAAACATTTTATGCATCAATGACCACCGACAATGGGCATCGCCGATGTTTACGATCAATGTGAACCAGGCTTTCAGTAGTCATGCTCAGCAGAACGTTACTAAGCATTATCACGGCTTTCAAGCAACGCGAAGCTTATTGCGACCCTGAAAAGGTGATATACTTAAAGTCGAAATTACGGAGCAAACATTGCATCGCTTTAGTCAAACTTAGCAGTTTGTAATGTTATTTGAAAATCGTCAAACATTTGTTACAGTAATGAAATTGCTTAGCGTTCATTTTTTAGCTGAAATTCAGACCGCGTCGTTGAGCCGGCCACGTCGTAGATCTTAAACTCTCTAATATGTAATAAAGTGTGATATATTGTAAAACACGCTTCTCTACTTTTACAATTATGACGTCTGCATAGCGGCCCCCTTGGAAAGTTTTGCTCCAGGCTTCGCCGTTAACCCCTCGGCGACCCTGTTCATACAGGATTTTGGGCACCTCACTCGATACTAAATGTTGAAGGGTTTTTGTAGATGGAAATCTCGAGTGTAAATTTTATACGTTTATACACCAAACCAGAAGCAGCTGCAAAAAATGCAACTATATAGACCCTCTGACAGGAATCAAACCTGCGACCTTGCGATTCCGGTGCAGTGCTCTAACTAACTCAGCTACAGAATCCACTTGTCGAACTTTGACCGCAAGTTCATGTATACAGTACATACTACGTGATGCCAGTGTAAGGTATATGGGGAAATTTCAGGCATCTCAGTCGATATTAAATGTTGAATGGTTTTTTATAGATGGAAATCTCGAAAACCCTTCAACATGTATAGCGCAGGGTGTATCAAAAAAACTAAAACAATTTCAATTTCAATATTATCGTGCGTTATATAGATGCTAAGTTTATATAGAATTACTTTTTGCACACTGATTTAAGATAGGCTTTTAAATGACACCATTTTGTATCATTGCGATGTAAAATGCATGGTCAGATAAGATCCGATTTGAAGTGGTCGGTCGAAAATTAAATGTTCTTCCAATTTTCGAACATTTACGGACTGATTTACTGAAATGTTGATTATTTGTATTAACCAAAATAACAATAGATAATTGATTACCGCTGGCTGTAACAATCAGTTGTTCATTGTCTAAAAATATTGATTGTTTAATTAATGTAACATGATTTTTCATAAGTAAGTAAACAAAGGCACTTTTCATTTGAAGACTTCAATTTCTGTTGTTACGAATTCGCGCTGACCAGCAAGAAGGTTCTTTGCTTGTTCAGTGTTATAGACATAACCAGGGGGAAGTTGATATGCGCTTCCAAAATCGCTAGATGATTTATTACCATTCCTATAAATCCACAGATCATGACCTACACTTCCACCAAAGATTGGTCGATAACCAGAGCCACAGTAGATTGCATACTGCTCCTGACCTTGCTTGATGTTGGCAATAAATGGAGCAAGGTTGTCTTTGTTCCGTAGCGAGAATAAAAATGACGAGTTGGAACGTTTAGGACCATTCCCTTAAAATTGAACAAAATTATTGATTAAAGTTTAATAAAATATTTAATAGGTCCTATAATATTTACTCTTGCATATGATCAGGATGATTTTGACCCAACCGACCCCCATTCACACGGGATTGGCAGGGCCGTGCCAAGTGGTTTTTGGTTGGGGGGGGGAGGGGGGTGAAATAAAAAATTTGGGCCCTCTCCCATTTGGGGCCCCCCTCAAAAATTTTTTTCCAGAAACCAAAGAATTTTTCCGGAAAATACTGGGGAGGGCGGGAGGCCTCCAAAATTTTTTCAAACACTAGGTTTACATTATGGGGGCTTAAATTTAGTTTTGAAGACCTTTTTAGACAATTTTCCAGAAAATTACTTAATATTTAACACGTTCCGCTTTCAAGGGCCTCCTTTCCGCAATTTAGGCCCCCTTTTTTACTTTTCTTTGGGGGGTGATACACCCCCCCCCCCCCAGGTGGCACGGCCCTGGCGGGATTGGACAAATTTTGTACATTCACCACTATCACCTTATGCGTTCACATGAAACTGGACGAATTCAAACACAGCTAACCCCAGGAATTCCAGTTTAAACAAATAGTGGAACTGAACGAATTTACGAATTCGCCCGATATTGTGCGAACATTACATAGTTGGCAATGAATGAGCAAGATTGTCTTTGTTGCGCAAGGAGAATAAAAATGACGAGTTGGAACGTTTCCAAGCATAATCTTAAAATTGGGCAAAATTAATTATTAAAGTTTAAAAAAATATTTAATAGTTCCTATAATATATTTACTTTTGCATACATATGATCAGGATGATTTTGACACAAATCGACCATCGGTCACACGGGGCTCGACGAATTCTGCACCATACTCACAACTTCACGACTATCACCTTATGCGTTCACATGGCACAACATGAGACTAGACGAAATCAAACACAGCTAACCCTAGAAATTCCCGTGTAAACAAATGGAACTGAACGAATTTGCGTACGGTTCCAAATTCGTCCGATATTGTGCGAACATAGTCTTAAATATCATTAAACCCAGTTTGCAGGACAAATATATAGCTTTCATAAATTATGCAAATATCAATATATAAATCTTATCTGACATACACAGCTATACGATCAGGTTGTTGCAATATTGATGAAAACAGGATTGAACAATGTTGTGCGGCCCACATTGTTCCCAGTTGGCAACAATGTTGAACAATATTGTTGAGCCTGAATCAGGTGTAAACCTGATTCAGGCTCAACAATATTGTTCAATATTGTTGGCAAGTGTGAACAATGTGGGCCGCACAACATTGTTCAATCCTGTTAAACAGCAGGCTCAGCGTTTTTACGCGTGTACCTGAATCCCAGTGTTGGTCAGTGTATCCGCCAAAGATACAATCATTGGCTTTCACTAAAACCACTGTCGGTCCTTTATTGTCACAATGTCTGTGAAAATCTTGGGCACTCCAACCATCTCTGGAAGCTCTGTAACAAAGATTCCATTTACACTTCTCTCCCAACCATTTCTCTAGTTGCTCGATGAAGGCAATCTCTTCTTTCAAAATACTGGATGACTTTTTTAATTTGTACGTTGCAGAAACACCACCTACGGTAAAAAATTTCCGAGTGTTTAGTTTTATGAAAACTCGATTACAACGACATGGTGTGCCATCCAGTTCCTGTATATCTTAATTCTGAAATGCCTTCAGCGAGTGCAGCGAGCGGCAGCAGGCTTTGTAGTCAGAAGATACGCCTCTGAACAAGACGTATTGAAATTGGGATAGCTTCCTATGAAAGAACGGAGAGAGTTTCATTTGGCACAAGCTGCCTTTAAGGGTATTCATATTCAAAGCTTGAGCAGTATATTCCCAAAAGGACACTAGGATCATCCTCGGAAACGAAAATAAATGTTCCCATCGAAAACGACACCTTTCAAGCCACTGCTGCAGACGTGTTCAACTGTTTGCCAGTTGAAATTAGAAACTCTCGGATTTACAATATTTTAAACGGACTGTAAAAACACCGATTATCTCTTGATGGCGAACGAACGAACGAACGATTAAATAATTTAATTAGATAGTATGTACATTGTAATTTAATTTACTCACTAGTTACGTGTAATTATCCTAACATTTTACTCCATTTAAATTATTTGTAGTTATAGGACTTACAAACGAAGAGCCATTTTGTGGAAATTCTGTATTATTATGATTATGATTATGATTATTATTATTTGACCTCCATCCGTCAAGTTTACTCAGTGCCAAACAGTCTCTCGTAAAGCCTTAAAAACCTCTCCAAATGATTGTATATATAAGGAATTTATGGAAATCAACTTGCGACAATACTAACATACAGTACGACGTCTACACCTCAACAAAGGAAGTTCTTAAAAGTTTCAAATCTGCACAAGAGGACAAGCTTCAAATCATCTGCTTCTCCGACGCTCCTTTTTCACTAACGTCACCAAGTTCTCATTGTCTACACTAAACAACCTATGGTCCAAATCTCAGTCAAGCTTGCCAAAAAGCACTATAACTTCACCATCCGTTACATCAACAACACTCTTCCCACACGAAAAAACGTCACAAAATGTGGAAAAATGTCAAACTCTGATTGTTCCATCTGCCTGAACCCTGAAACCCTTCTGCACGTAGTCGCGGGATGTCAGCAGTCATACCTTCCACGATTTACTTGGAGACATGCATGACTCTATTCTCAATTTTATCGCAAAAACATTCCAACCTGACCACAACTCCACTCTATTTGTCGACCTTCCTGGATACAAGAGCCCGTCAATAATAACCGGTGACACTTATCGCCCAGATCTGCTTCTTTCGATTTCAAATGATTGTCTGTACATACTCGAACTCTCTGTCGGATATGAATCCAATCTCCAAAACAACGTCGATCGCAGAAGGGAAAGATACGGATCTAATTACGCAGGATCTAATTACGCAGCAGAGAGACCATTTCAAAACTGTCAAATTTATTAATTTGTCTATTATAGTGCCTTAGGTGTTTTCTCCAAAGAATGTAGCACGTTTATGAAAATGTTGAACGAAGTTGGTCTAGATAAAAAACATCAGAACTTTTGTGTTAAGAAAATAATGTCCGTCGCCATCAGAACAACGTACAATATATTTTGTTGTAGAAACAAGGGATTGGACCGATCCGGACTTGATGAACATTTAAGAATGAGCTTTCTCTTAGTTTTATACCTGTAATATAGTTTATCAATAATTAATAGTTCAAGTAGTCAATTATAAATTACCTTAAATAGTGAGATTTATAATTGTATATACATAATATGTCAAAATAAAGTTTCCATTATTCTTATTCTTGTTCTTGTTCTTGTTCTTGTTCTTGTTCTTGTTCTTGTTCTTGTTCTTATTATTATTCTTATTATTAATAATAAGTATATTCGAAAATGGTTACAGATCTCGATTAGTGGCAATATCACTCATCTAAAACTGCCAAAATCATATCTAGGGATTGACTTTTGCTCTGCTTCAGATATATATTTACAATGCAAACTTTCGGTTAGGCGCATATTGAAAACATCTAAGAACAGTGATATTCAACATCTGTATTCTGTAACATCTTCCAAAAATATTAATACGGATGAAATAATTGAGAAAGTACCATCAAATGTAACAAATGGATTTGAACTGAAAACCGGAACAAATAAGTTATTGAAACAGCAAAATACAAATGATATTTAGACAAATTTTATCATGCTAAAGGAACAAAGTATTATTATAAACTATCTAACTCAAGCGTGCTGAACCTGTATAATGTATTGACGGTAATATACCATAAATTGCACATACCTTCCACATGTCCCAACTTATCAACAATTTCATCAACATTGATATTTCCAATGTCGTCAGGTACATACCAAATACCACCATCATTCACTGCAGCAAAATTCTCCGGCCGGTCATTTCTCAATCTCTCGATTTTCTCATCAATCAATTTTTGTGATGAAATAATTTCTTCAATACTTCCTCTCTTTAGGAGATTTCTTGGCAAGGACACTGAAGCTTGGACTTTATCAAGATAATCTTTCATTTCATCATGTTGTTCGCTCAGTTCACTGTGTAATTCACCATAAGCTTGGTCCACATCCTCATTCATTTTCTTTGCTCTCTCGTCAAGTTTTTCTGCCACAATCTTCAAGATATTTTCCTTTTGTTCTTGGATTTGATCTTTAGCAGTTTTAGCATTTTTTTCAAGCGACTTCATCACCTCACAAATGTTGTTCAACGCTTCCTTTCCTTCAGCTACTTTCTCATCAAGTGTTATACAGCTTGATTGCAATGTTTCTCTTTGCTTCTGTGTGAGTTCACTCACTGCCACACACGAATGGTTTTGTTTTTGATGATTCAACACCATGCAGTCTATACAGCTAAGTTCTTTGCATGTTTCACAATAGTATTTGAGTACTTCGTCTTTGTGTTTCGTGCAATAAAGCTTGCTTCTCGTTTTTACTTGACTTTCAGGATTGCTCAGTTCCTGTACGGATAATGTATTATGGTTTTTGTTGGCAGGCCAGGTATCATGTAACCCTGAACATTTCTTACACATAAATATTTGGCATGATGCGCAGTGATTAATGGCAGGATCTTGGCAGCGGGAACATGCGGTGGATGTTTTCGCTTTTTGTTGAATCGCCATAATTTCCAGCATATTCTTGATGAAATAACTGCTTGGCAGTTCAGCAACATCTTGGTTTGATTTGAGAGTAAACTCTGAACGACATGTAGGACATGGAAATGTCTCGATCTTCTTTTCAGCACAACGAAGACGTTCAACATACTTTCCTAAACAATGCACAGACATAGAATACACTTAAAGCATAAATAAACATGTTAAAGAATAAATTAAATGCAATAATTATTACAAAGACAGCTCAATTGTTGAGTTTCCTGCCGACAGAGGTCTCTATAAATAATAATTGAGTAACTTTAATTATAAGAATTAAGGTAATTAGGGAAGTACCGGATAATGGTATCTGGTAAAAAATAAACATCCAGCAGTATCAGTATTCAATGTACCATTGAAACTTTCCCAAGGGAAGATGCATGATTTTGATAAGAACAAGATACAGCAATTTTGTTATGATGTTAGTCGAGATTGACTATTTATTTTTCTAGTGATAGATTGTGGTTGTAATTGTACATAAAAAGTTGCTCAGGCGGCGAGCAATGTCCAATACAGGCATCTGATGGTGAAGATGGTGTATGGTGATGTACTGATGTATGATGGTCGAAGTGTGTCAGATGGTTGTCAGATGGTGTATGATGGTGTATGATGGTTATACAGGGAAGGGTTGTCAGATGGTGAAGATGGTACAGATGGTGTATGATGGCCGAAGTGGGTCTAGCCTGCGTGCAGCCTGACTTTAAATGGGGAGAAGTCAGTCTGCGAATCAGGCAACAATACCGTGTCGCGTCATCTTTTGAATTGCATGGATTTTTGTGTTCAAACGTGATTGGCTATTGCTCAGAAGCCTAATACACGCGCTACGATTGGCCATTCGTTAATAGATTCAGTTCAACAAAATAATATATTTAGCAAAATGGCGTCTTGGGAACCTCAATGAGAACCCTTTCATATCTTTTGTATGGGAGTCGTGCATAAATTACACACAACATTGCACTTCGTGTTTTTGTCCGCCATTTTTTTCATTCTGGAATGTTGTTTGAACTAAATATATATTAACGAATTGGCCAGTTGTAGCGTGTGTATTAGACTTCTGAGCAATAGACAATCACGTTTGAATCCATGCAATTCAAAAGATGGCGCGAACACGGTATTATTCCCTGATTCGCAGACTGACTTCTCTCCATTTAAAGTCCGGCTGGTGTATGATGGTGTAGGGTTGTTATAGATGCAAGGGTTGTCCGATGGTGAAGATGGTACAGATGGTGTATGATGGTCGAAGCGTGTCAGATGGTTGTCAGATGGTTTATGATGGTGTAGGGTGGATATACAGGGAAGGGTTGTCAGATGGTGAAGATGGTATATGGTGTCAGATGGTTGTCAGATGGTGTATATAATGGTCGAAGTGTGTCAGATGGTTGTCAGCGGGTGTATGATGGTGTATGATGGTCAAAGTGTGTCAGATGGTTGTCAGATGGTGTATGATGGTGTAGGGTGGTTATACAGGGAATTAAGGGTTGTCAGATGGTGAAGATGGTGTATGATGGTCGACGTGTGTCAGATGGTTGTCTGATCGATGGTGTATGATAGTGTATGATGGCCAAAGTGTGTCAGATGGTGTATGATGGTGTAGGGTGGTTATACAGGGAAGGGTTGTCAGATGGTGAAGATAGTGTATGATGGTCGAAGTGTGTCAGATGGTTGTCAGATGGTGTACATGATGGTCGAAGGGTGTCAAGTTTTTCAATGATTTCCTCATACTCTTCAGTTAATCTGTGTTTGCAGTGTAATTTTCCGAAATGTGTAAGCCAGTCTTCTTCGCTTGGGGAGTTGTTGGAATTAGTGTTATTCTCTATGGTATCATTAGTAGTTTGGAAATTTTTCCAAAAGAGATTTGGATTATTTTCAGTTGCCTTTTCTAATTTATTTATCTTTTCCTGGTGAAAAATGTTTTTCTTAGTTTCTAGAGTCTCTTTGTATGTTTTTAGTGTGGAATGATATGCATTTCTTAAATCTATATTTCCTGGATCCTTATGTTTTCGGTTTGCAAGTTCACGAAGTTCATGCCTCTTTATCCAGCATTCTTTGTCAAACCACTTTTTTTTTGTTACATTGCTTAACTTTCGTCTAACTTTCTTTTTTCATATTTTCAGTGACTTTTTGGATGCCCCAGTTATAATACTTAGAAACTCATTCACACAACTATTGACTCCATTTATGTCATTAGTAAAACGTTTGAATTCTTCCATTAAATATGATGGTATAAAATTGCTTGAAGATGAAATTGTGTGTAAGTGCGTTTGTTGAATGGTTGAAAATAAGTACAACTGCAGTGCTGCATAAATAGTTTCTGTGATATCAACAACTGGAAATCGGAAATATCACATTGATAACAGGATGGTCTACTTGACTCGCAGCACTGGCGGCTTGACATGGACAATCAATTAGTCAATGTCAACGGGACATTGTCCTTGACAACGTATACTAAAACCATATACGAAAAACGTCTATACGTGGCGTATAGGTGCCTATAGTGAAATGGTACAATTGCGCATAAAAGCCTTTAGGCATCTATACAGCCATATAGGCTTGTATTGTCCTTGACGAAGTAAATTACAAAATGAGTATAGTATAATGTATTGCTGTCTTTCCTGCATGGCAGTTATGACGGTTTGAAAACGATGCAACTAAATTACAAAATGAGTATAATATATTGTATTGCTGTTTTTGCTGACATTTCTTCACGCTTTAAAGTAAATTAGCTATAGAAAACGATGTAATTATACTCGCGTGCGATAGTAAAATATATTCGTCGTTTTGTTTTTAGTCGCCGCATAATTGAGCGCATCAGCGTCGCTGCACAGCACCGAACTCCGCAGGCTCTTAGTTATAGTCCATGCATGTAAACTGTCATGCAGTTCCGTGCTCAGTATAGCCACACTGTACGTGTCAAACATTTTTATTATATTTTTGAGGAGTTTGATTTTGAAATATATTTTGTTTTGTATATTGAACTTTGCATTTTGTAATTGGGAGTTAGCCTGCGTGCAGCCTGACTTTAATGGGAGTTAAATTCGTTTTAAAACTCTGGAAATATTACGCACATGATCTAATTCCTAGTGTTTAGACTGAGATAATAGTCACCCTACGATGCATGGCACGTGTGCGAAAGAACCCTGCTGTCTTCTATTTGTCATTGTACAGCCTCGTACCCAGGCGCAAATAACGTACTAAAAATAGCAACACTACAGTGTTTTTATATAGATCAGTGGCTAAGATGAGGGGCCCAAGCACCCTCGTACGTTATTTGCACCTGGGTACGAGGCTGGTCATTGTAGTTTCCCGGCCGAATTTGAAGGAGTAAAAGCTAATAATGCAATGAATTGCTACACTATTGAGTTATATAAAGTGCGCACAAGAACCCTGCTGGCTTATGTATTTGTCATTGACATTGCATGGCTGCGTTACAGCCATGAAGCTGAGATCAACTGCACTAACTTTGCCGCTAGTGCATGTTATAACTGTTATAATTTATAGTCTCTGCCCGGATATGCCTAAAATGTAAAAGTGAATATAAGCATGTATACATATGAAAAGTAAATACACAATTTTTTACGTTGTCCAAGATTCTAAAGTAATGTCGCCAAGGGCGCCGTGATGCGTTGACGCGTTTGTTACTGCAGTTTAGTATATACAAAGCGTGTTTTTGAAAGAACGTGGCAACACTATATATGCACAATTAGCCATAACGCTTTTGTCGTTCGTCTTGTAGGTTTTATTGATATATACGTGGTTTTGAAAAAACGAGGCAACACTATATATGCACAATTGTAGGTTAAAAATCAACAACCCCCCCCCCCTCCCCCCCATGTTTACAACACAGGCGTTCCCTGCGCAAATATTTCATCTGTGACTTCTGTCCGCGCATTTTTAACGAAATCCTACAAATTCTGTGTATTTTTCATGAATTAATGCCTTTATTTCGTTTACTTTGTCTTGAGAGGAAGCTTAATACTCAAAACCAGAATTTAGTATTGTAAGTGACGGCCTGGCTATGCATACAATGCAGTCATTATCAAGCCAAACATGATTTCCTACCACCGAAGCCTAAAACAAATTACCTGAAAAAGGCGTTTAGCTATAGAGGTGCAGTGGCCTGGAATAATCTACCAAGTGAAATTAAAAATTCTGAAACTGTTAATATTTTTAAAGCAAAACTCAAGATTATCAATTGAGAGTACATTTTAATATTGTTAGTATTTGTTACATTAGTAAGTAATATGTATGTTGAATAGTCTATATGTATATTGTAGATAGTGTTATAAGATAGTTAAACACTATTGGAAGATCACATTTTTCTTTTCCTTCTCTTTTATACATAAATAAATTAAATGTAACTAGTTTGTGAAATAGTACCGTGTTTAAATAAAGTTTAATAATAATAATAATAATAATAATAGTAATAATAATAATAATATTCTGTCTTCACTTCCGCGCAATTAATGCAGCAGGGACGCATTCATTGCGCAAAAATAAAACTTGCATTACTCGGATATTTAATTATTAAACTGTAAAGTATATCCACGCAAAGCTTGTGTCAATAGACCTTTTAAACAAAGAAAATATTACTCACTTAAACACACTTTACAAAAATTATGAAAGCAAGCCAAGCTTCTTGGTTCTTGTAGAGTTTCCAAACACATACAACATGTGAGTAGTTCGTTGATTTCATCAACAGGAACACTTTCTGATGAAGCACTTGCCATTTCAATTAAATCTTTCTTACTTCACAATTCAAGATAACATATTTGTGTCTTCTTTCCATCGAAATGATCGCATAAAATCTTGCCACAAATATTGTACTGCCAAAGTGAAAGTGTTGTTGGTTTCGTTTAGAATTGTGAAAATATACCCGGAAGGCCGGAAACGTAAATATTCTTGGAATTAACCCCTTAAGCCCCAGCCCGCGATGGGACAGTGACCTCAATATAAAACTGGACTGACTGGCATTAAAGTTGGTTAGCTTTTGCGGGGTAAATTCTTCATTTTTAGCCCTCCCTTTCTAATAACTCCCTTGAATTACCCGTTCTCCTTTTTAAGGCATATCTGCACCATACGACTAGTCCTATACGATCCTGGCATCTGTACTGGAAATTTCGCCATAAATTGATGAACAGGAAGTGTAAATAGTGGCGTCAACAGTCGTTTTCATACACCAGAATGACAGCTATTGAGGATACCCATGCCCCATGGGACCACAAATTATTAATATATTTTGTCTTGCAGAATTTCGTTGTTTTGAAGGTGCGTCGTTGACTTGCCGCATCGTAGATCTTAAACTCTTTATTGTTTTGTATTTCGCAAAAATACTCAGTGTTTCCCGTAATTTAGATTGGGGATTCAACATTACAAAGTTGATGCGATTAGATGGCTTAATATATAGACGAAATCGGAGATTCGACTGCGCATCGAAATGACGCGTTCTGCGCTGGGAACAAATTGCTGTTGAATCATAACATCTAGCTGATGCATTTCAAAGTAATTGAACTGTATGATCATTGCAATTGTTTGTGTTTCATTTATAGCCACAATAAGAATTCAAATTCAAATTTTTGCATGCCGCTACTGTGTAAAGCAAAATAAAGAAAGGCACACCCGAGGGAATATATTAAAGCGAATCAACGGTACTGCGGAAACTGATTCACCTCACTTCAGGTATTGATTTAGTCGTATGAGATGTCATGCCAAATTCTCCAATTCGGACTGCATGGACTAGATTCTCCAATACAGACACATCTCTAATTCGGACAACTTCTCTTATGCAGGCACTCCTCTAATTCGGACAGAAATCTCTCTAATTCGGACAACTGTCTAATACAAACACCTCCCTAATTCGGACAACTCTCCAATACAGACACCTCTCTAATTCGGACAACTCTTCAATACAGACACCTCTCTAATTCGGACAACTCTAATACTCCCTAACATTCTTACTCTAATACTCTGACTCTAACGTCTTTTTATTACGGACAATTTCCGACAAATTTTTCGCGTCATTTCCTTTTCACATAGCTTCTTTAATACGGACCCTTTCTAATAAGGACAACAGATACTAAATCCCTGCAACAGACAGCAAATACATGTAAACCTAACCTCTTCATTACTTCATTGCTCACCCTTCTGTCTCCCCATTAGAGAGGGTGAACTGTGTTTTACAGCAAAACCAGTACCAGCTGACAGTTTTGAAAAGAAGAAAGTTGTCTGTCTTTGAAAGTTCTTTTTAAAAACGTGTCCGTAATTGAAAAGCTTCAATATTAGAAATGTGTCCGCAAGAAGAGATTCGTTTGTATTATACACACGAGTGGGAGGTTTGGACTTTTTTCTGGAGGTAGGGCGAACCGCAAAATCCACAAATTTTGGCAAAGTAATAAATTGGCTAAAATAAATTAACTTGACTTGACCGCGACGCACCAAAAAGATGGTGACGTCAACGTAAGGATCAGACCCAGATTTAGTTTTCGATATCAAAGAGATATGAAATCGTTCCTACCTAATTCATGTTTTATGTTAAAGTCCTGAAAGACAATAAACATATTACACAACTAGTTTTGCGCAAACGTTTCTCAGAGCGACGTACTCTGACACGGTCGTTTGACATTTGCATTCTATATTACTAATATCGTTGGTTAATTTAATAAAGAACCACATCAGGGTGTACCCTGAGTGCAGAGGTTTTCTGGTGTCGCGTCATGCAAGTTTGATAGGCATGCTTGGCCAGCTGCACCCGAGTGCAGGCTACACAGCTTCAGCGAAACAGGAAACTCCATGATCCAGGGTACATCAGGGTGTAGCAAAATCATTAATGAAGCAAAATAAACACGTTGGCCAAATCAGACTGTCTCAGAATGGTCATTTCCAGTAAATTTAATGCTCCGAAACTGAAAAGAAAGTACTACCTCTAGTATTAGAGTAAATAATTTCGGTCTCTAAGATGATCTCATTTTTGGTTTTTATTTATTAACCCATTAAGCTGCAATCCGCCCAAATGGAACCAACTTTATTATTTTGCCCAGTCTAACGACAGACGATTTTACTCGTCAGGTCTTGCGTATTAACATGGGTTAACATTAACGCTTGAGCATTTAAATTTGTAATGTGATATATTGTCTGCCATGTAATTAAGAATGCATATTTACGTGGAGGTAGGGTGATGGTACTATGTTCACATTAATACGAACATACATCCAAACCAAGAGCAGCTGCAAAAAATGCAACTATATAGACCGTCTGGCAGGAATTGAACCTGCGACCCTGCGATTCCGGTGCAGCGCTCTAACCAACTGAGCTGCAGAATCCACTTGTCGAATTTTCACCACAGGTTCATGTATACAGTACATACTACGTGATGACAATGTAAAGTATATGGGTAAATATCAGGAATTCACGCATCTCAGTCGATATTAAATGTCAATGGTTTTTTGTAGATGAAAATCTCGAAAACTCTTCAACATGTATATTGCAGGGTCGCGTATCAAAAAAGCTAAAACAATTTCGGCATGTTGTCATGCGTTATTGATGTACTATTTAAAGCACGCGTAGGAGTGTTTTATCAGATATAAAACGCGAGGCGCAGCCGAGCGTTTTATATCTGATAAAACACGACTACAAGTGCTTTCGATGGCTTAAAAAACGACTCATCTTATACGAGTTCATTGGCGAAGTAATTTTTAAAATAAACTTTGTCTAAACCGAGAAAATTAAAGCTAAAGTTTATGTAAATTAACATGATTTTTTATCACATATAAAACCACGACAAGCTTATGATTTTTCTTTGTGTTTTCCTCCTGAATTATTAATGAGTTTTTTAAACTAAGTTTATAGATTTACTTTTCGCACAATAATAAAGATAGGCTTTTAGCTGCCAAATGACACCGGTCTTATGTCATTGTGATGAAAAATGGTCAGATGTAATCCGATTTAAAGTGGTCGATCGAAAATTAAATGTTCTTCCAATTTTCGAACATTTACCTAGGCTATATACTGATTAGATAATTGGTTACCGTCGGCTGTATAACAATCGCTTTTTCACAAGTTTTCTTCCAGGCCTTTCATTTGTTGACTCCAGTAACTGCTACTGTTGAGGAAAACGACCAATTTTAATTTTTAAAATTCCTACAGTACATGACTCAGAATATTCATATTAATTCTTAATACATTATAACATTGCAAAATCACTGTCCAAAAGTGATTGCTAAGAGCAGTCGTAATCAATGTAATGTTATTTTTCGTTGAAGTAAGTAAACAAAGGCACTTTTCAGTTGAAGACTTCGATTTCTGTCATTAAGAATCGGTACTGACCAGCAAGAAGGTTCTTTGCTTGTTCACTGTTATAGACATAACCAGGAGGAAGTTGATATGTGTGTCCAAAATTGCTGGATGATTGATTAACTTGAGGATTGTTCCAAAAGACCAGATCATTACCTGCACCAAAGATTGGTCCATAATCAGGGCGACAGTAGATTGCATACTGCTCCTGACCTTGCTTGACGTTGGCAATAAATGGAGCAAGGTTGTCTTTGTTGCGTAGCGAGAATAAAAATGACGAGTTGGAACGTTTCCAAGCACCACCTTAAAATTGAACAAAATTAATGATTAAATTTTAATAAAATATTTAATAGATTCTATAATATTTACTTTTGGACATGATCGGTATGATTATGACACAATCAACCCTTCTTCACACGAGACTGGACGAATTCTGAACCATACTCACAATTTCACGACTATCACCTTATGCGTTCACATGGGACACATGAAACTGGACAAATTCAAACACAGCTAACCCTAGGAATTCCTGTGTAACAAATGGAACTGAACGAATTTGCGTATTCGTCTGATATTGTGCGAACATAATCTTAAATATCATTAAATGAAGTCAACCTCGTTCCCAGGCTCTTCCCTCTTATGGAGAAAAGACCCTGGTCGGAGCTGGTCACGTAACCCATAGAAAATGGATAGCCGTAGGAAGCGTTCCTTTACGGCAATCCAGATTTAAATTTTCAAATCCGATTATCGATTTTCAGATTCATTTGACAAAATCTTAAATAGATTCGAATCTGATGAGTCCACCTCAACATATGGATTTTTCGGATTCAATCTGAAACTTGATTAGGATTCAACGTTCCTTTTGAGCTTCTGGACTTCTAGCATCTACCCTGGCCCGATCCGACCGAAAGGTATAGTGGGATAGAAAACTTATTGTAAAAATGGCGGGAAAACAGCAGGCGAATTCCGATTCTCACAATTCGTTCCATTTGTTTAACGAATCCAAAAGATCCGAATCCTAAAAATCCAAATCTAGATTTACAAAAGAAACGCGCCTTTAAAGGGTGAGGGAAAAATCTCATATTACATGTTTCCACTTCCCCACTTCACACTTCGATTGCAAGGAGTGACCGTTCTGTACTATCATCTTTGAGAATTATAATTACTTCAAAATACTTGCTAAATTTGGTTTCTGTTTGCTATTAAATTATACAAACATGGTAAACTGCAGATTTATATAGCAACAGACAAGTCAGGAAATCAAGCAATGAAAACGTATGATCGAAATATTTTGCTGTTTTATTCTTGGAGTTCGGGCGCAGTTTCATTTCGCGCATACGTTTCTGTTCTGCCTCTGGTTCAGATATTTATAATATTCTTATAATACATGTATGCCATTGAATTGTTGTCAATTGGAAACGGTATATACCTTGCATTTATTTACTTGTTAAATACTATAGAGGTTTCAAAAGCGACTGTGTAGGTCGTAGACCTTGGGTCTCACAGCAAACGTTACACATTTGGACACTAGCCAAATAGACGTGAAATGTCCATTCTATTAGAGAGGTTAAGATATCCCGGTTTCGGTGAACGTGTACGGGTAGCATGATTTTGGTTAGCAATATTTTCGTCGATGTCTGTACATTTACTCGTAATTAAGGTGCACATTTTTCGCATTATATCATTGTCTATAACCTGAGTATCAGGCTCTATTTTACGAATAGAGCCTGACACAAAACTTAACCTGATCGCTTTCCGCCCACAGCAAAGTTTATATTTAGTATCCAATCAAAATGTCGCAAGAGAAATTTAAATTTCACACAACGACAACAAC